CGTCTTCCATTTTTGAGGTGAGACCTCCGGAGAAAGTCTTTCATCGCGTCACTCGCAACTGGATTGATTATATAACGATAAGACTCGAGAACCCTGAAGGACAGCTCATTCCATAGAGAAATGACACCGATCTTGTCGTAACGTTGCTGCTTCGCACTGCGCACGATGACATATAAAATGAGAGTCGTGCCTCGAACGCGGCACACTGTACTCTGCCTACCAATAGATTAACACACGCCAATCGTCTGCTGTTGCAAGCGCTAGGCTACGTTCTCAGAGAAGATGAAAAGACAAAAAAAATCACACTGCGCTACCGCCGCTAGCAAAGACTATCTCTTAGACGTGCTCCTCAACCAATATCCATTCGATGGAAAAATTAACGTTCAAGGCTTCAATTATCATCGCTACACACCGTCACTATCACCAACGGATATGACACAAACGATGAAATTCGCATTATGATACAAAACAAAGACACCTTCGCCGTCCCATGCGAATCGACCATCATCATCGAAGGAAAGTTGACCAAAACAAGCGGAGGCGGACGCACACCTGCCAACTTTATCAACAACGCCTACGCATTTTTATTTTCCGAAATTCGATATGTGATCAATGAGGTCCTCGTCGACAGTGTGCGTCATCCTGGCATCGCATCCACCATAAAGAATGTGCCGCTCCTCAGTGCCGAAGAGCGTGCATTACTCCATTACGCAGCGTGGACATTTGAGAGCTTGATGCAACTCAATCGTTCACTGAATGAAGCATTGATTGACGATGACGATTCGTTTGTGGCCTGGATTCATCTCAAACTCTTCCTTCCGTTCGCGGAGGACCACAGGCGCATCGCGGCTGGCGTGATGCACGAGCTCATTCTTACTCGTACTCGAACTGACAACGAGTGTCTTCTATCCAAGGTAGAGGGAGCAGCTACACCGTCGAAAATAGCACGCCAACCTCAGCGATGCTTGTAAAATGAATATGTACAACATTCTCAACGGTAGGACAAGTATACCTATTAAGTTCACGAGGTACGAACTCCACGAATCAGCAAATTTGCCACTTACAACACGTCACGAGTGGACGGTGAAAACAAGCAGCGAAGCAGAGCATCCGCATTACATCATCTTCGCTATGCAAACCAACCGCCGAAACGATTTGAAAAAGAATCCTAGCGAGTTCGACCTGTGCGATTTAAGAACGATTAAACTCTTCATCAACGACGAGTTTTATCCTTATCATGACATACGCATAGGATGGAATACGGATGGTGTGCATATTCCAGAATTCTTCGAAATGTTCAAAAATTTCGAAAAATCGTATTTGGAACGTCATCCTATTTCCTGTATTACACATCGCGGAGTGAATGAGATATGTCCGTTTGTCATTTTTGATTTATCACGACGCGAGGAGCCGACGATCGCCTCTGCATCAGATATTAAAATCTTTTTCGAATGCAATTTGAACGTGCCAGCTAACACGTCTGCCTTTTGTCTCATTTTTTACGAACGACATATGGACTATCATCCAACCACAGAACTCGTTCGCAAAGTATAAAAATTACGTGAAATGGAATGTGGCACTCACATTGTCGAGTTGTTATCAATCATGAACACAACGGAAGAGAATAGTATTGCGCGGGACTCTTCTCCATGGTGGACGAAAGAAGCGCACTAACGACAAAAGCGATGAATGTGCTCATCCTTGCATGGGACACTGTACGTCATCGCATAAGACAAAGAATAAAATTAATAAAAATAAACTACGTGATAGTCAACAAAGGAAACAATCAGCATCTGTCTTCAAAAGACAACGGAGGACTCTTACTTCGACTCCTTCACAATCACCGTCGTCCCCGGACACGACGCATTTATGTTGCGGAATAAATGTTCGACAATGTGTGCAACATGCAACAAACTGGCTAATGCATGCCATACAAATGGCATTTCTTCAACATCGTACTCCATCTTCATTTTGTGCTACTGACTATGATACTGTTGCTGATACTGCTACTTCTTCTGTTCGCGAAGATCACCATGTCTCCACAGGTGAATCATCAAAAGAAGAACAAGAAGAAGTCTTGAACGAACTCTTTTCTTTTTTGAACTAAATAATGACGCATTCTGTCCTTTCGAAATATCAATGTAATTGTTCATACAATTTGTAAATGAATATATTTTATTGTTAATAAATTTGGCAAAACATTTGCTCTTTTATTTATTTTCCAATCAAACACCAAGTAGGACATCCTGTTATTTATCTTTATTGATTTCTTTATTGAATAATGCAACAACATTCCCTTGATGGTTGTTGAAAAAAATTTTTATTTCAACTTCAGACTTCTATGCAGGCAGGCCGGTGGTATACCGGAAGCTGCATCCGGTCGTGCACACGCGTTTGAAATCTACCAGCGTACTTCCCGTCGTTAATGAACTGCGCAGCTGCGCAGGAAGTCGCCTGCGGTGTTCGTCAGTAGGCTATGCCGGAAGCTGCATCCGGTCGCAGCTCGTTTGCACTTCCAGCCGTTAATGATCATCGCCGATGCGCAGGAAGTCGCCTGCGGTTGACGATAGTGCGTGCGAATCCAGAGTAGAGGCCTAACGACACCATTGGCCGTCCGTGCCAGTCGATAAAATTAAAACAAACCAATGAAATGCGCAAGTGCCCCGCCACTATACTTTCAATTATCTATGTTATGTGCGTTCGGTCGACCTGCGAACACAGTCTTATTTTTGACTGCTACTGCAAGTTTGAGCAGTTGCTACTACAACGCTTACTAAAAATGGCTTTAGTCGATTTTTTCGCGGCAGTTCCTGCGGGCAATGTGGCTGAAGTAGTGAGGATACTTCATCTGAATCCTCATTACGTATATCAGCAGATACCTGATGGACGTACGGCACTTCATGTGGCGGTCGTCCACAATCGTCCGCGCATTTGTAATCATCTGCTGGGTGTGGGCGCCGCCATCGACGCGATCTATAGATACGGGATGACGCCGCTTCATCTCGCAGTGAACCATAATGCCGCCGAGGTGGTGGAGTATTTATTAAACTGCGGAGCAAATGTCAAAATTAAAAACCATATGGGTTTCACCGCGGTTGACCTCATCCTTGGCCAAGGGTCCATCATCGCCCCTCCCCATCATCGCCCCGCAATTGCTTCGCATATACATTTCTATACTGGTAGGGAACTTGGCGTATGCTGTAGACTCGTCCGTGACGCTCATTTATGGAGCGTCACAGCCAACAACAGCAACAATAGCACCACCGACAACATCAGCAACAGCACCACCAACAACATCACAACCACCACCTCAGCAGGCAATGGAGGCGTCAGCACCAGCGTCGACGTCGACGACGCCAGCAGCGTCGACCAACGGACCGCAGCGTCACTGGCGATTAAGCGGTCCCCTTTTGCCTCTGCGTCGGCCGCATACAATACCGGCACCGCTGCAGCATAAACACCAGCAGCAGGAGCCGCAACAGCAGCAACGCCAGATGTATTCGTCCTCCCCACCAACAACTCCGAGGAGGACGAGCACACGAAATCAGGAGTGGGCGCATGCTAGCGCACGTCGGGCGCTCCGTGCGCGGCGAGGACCTTTACCACCACCACCGCCTCTAGCTCTTCCCATCGCGGACCTCACGCCGGAGAAGCTGGAACGTCTGATGCATCGTCCGGATGTATGCAGACACTCATTTTCTTCTGGTGAGTACTTTTGAATGTTGCTTCATCTATCATTTCATTTCAATGATCATCTATCATTCCTTCTTTAAAAATGTTAAACATAAATAATGTTTTGTTTCATTTCAGATCTTACTGAAATCAATATTGATGATGATGAAGATACTGATGATGTGGTAGTGAAAAAAGATGAAGATGATGATGAATTCATCTTAGGAATGTAAAATATTGTAGTGTGTAATGTAGTGTGTAATATTGTAGTAGTATTGTATTGTGTAATATTAAAATTTGTGATTTATGCGATGTACCATATATTATATATATTAATAATTAATAATTATATAAATGAATGAAATTCTTTACCCTATCACCACCTACATAGGATTCCTAAATTTAAAAAAATTATAGTTTTCCATTATGAATAAAAGAAATAAAACTCTTCGAATGATTAATACTTAATGAATTTAATACTTTAATACAATAATGAAAAAAATTCTTTTCATTACTTTAAAACAATAATTTCATTAAATAAAATTACTTCTCGATTGATGTCATCAAAATTGATTTCATTTTATTGCATTCTGTTGACAATACATTGTTATTTCATTTAATAGTTGATGACTTCTGCGAGTACTTGTATAAAATACTTCTCGATTGTTGTCATCAAAATTAATTATATTTTAATGCATTCTGTTGACAATACATTGATATTTCATTGATTAGCTGATGACTTCTGTGAGTACTTGCATTCTGTTTACACTACATTGATATTTCATTGAATAGCTGATGACTTCTGTGAGTACTTGTATTCTGTTTACAATAAATTGTTATTTCATTGTTTCATTCAATAGTTTCATGTCTTCTGCGAGTACTTCTAATTCTTAAAATAATAAAACTCTTATAAGCAAATAAATATGTTGATTTTTACGTGATTGTGAAAAACATTTAATGAGAATATTATTACTTTCTTTACTTTAATGGAATAATTTCAATAAATAAAAAAAATACTTCTCGTTTGCTGTCAACAAAATTGATTATATATTAATGCATTCTGTTTGCAATATTGTTTTCTTTGAATATTGTTGACTTCATTCATGGGAGTAATTCTATTTCTTTTCAATGGAGAGGAGAATGAAGGAAGAATGAAAGGAAATAAGACAAGGAAAAAAATTTATAAGCCCTTATAAGATCTTATTGTTTTTTTATTTTTTCATCAATGTCAATATTGATTAAAATTTAATGTATTTCATTCCATACTCTATAATAGTCTTCCATGTAGATTTTAACTTTACGTGTTCAAAGGGATATAATAGTATCACGTATGCATTGTTTGTCGGATTTTTTCCGAAATATATTACATGAGGCCTTGATTTAATAAACTGCTCCACCCCCATTTCATCGATAAACGGAGTAAATCTATAATTAAAAATAAATTATTAATATATAATTATAATTATAATTAACAATAAGATTACAAAAAAGATAATTATAATACTAATATACCTTATTGGTAAAAATGTGCTATACTTGTCGTTTAAAACGACCGCATAATTTTCACTATTAAATGTTTCGTAATTTTTAACGTAATTTTTTTGGTGCTAGTAATTTCGAAGGCGATTCCTTTCGGAAAGTCCTCCCAATGCTTTGATATTTGGGAGGATTCTGCCCTTTGTACAATAGCACTCCAAATGTCACTAAAACAAAACAAAAAATTAAATTAAAAAAATTCTTTTTTTATCATATCTCAAAAATTAATAAATCATTCTACTTACGTCTCTTTGGGCGGTGAGTATATTAATACTGGACATGCTGGATCCGCTACCAGTCGCGGCGCTGTGAATTCACTTATGCAAATTGTTGACGATCCTGGCGATGGTGTTTAAGCTCCTCCTCCGATGGCGAACTGCGAAGTTACCAACAATGCATCAAATGCATCATGTTCGTCGTAGTCCATCAGTCCAGTTAAATCGATGGATGCCACATCCGCACCCATCAATCGTCTTTCCAACAAGTCGATTTTTGTCTGTTCGTTCGCACTATTAAAAATAAAAAATAAAAACATTAAAAGTAAAAAAAATAAAAATTTAAAATTAATCTAAAAATGAGTGGAAAAAGAAAAGAGACAACAAATACTTACGATGTCTTCCTCTTCTTGGACATCGACGGTAATGTCACGGCAGTAGCAGCATCTACTTCACAATCAATTTCTCGAATGGTGGCCATCGCAAAAGAACGGTATCAGCAACAACAACAGTAACAGCAGCAGCACTAGCATCAAGAGTACTATTCG